GGGAGGATATCAATTAAATGTTCCTTAAAACTTCTCAGTATAATGAGCAATCAAAATAACTTACCTAGGAAACTTGAGCCTCAACTAAACAGAATTATTTTTTTACAATCTGAGAACATTTATAACATTAATAACCCACTCCATGCTTCAAAAAATGTACCAGATATCCCTGATATAGTGATCTAAAAAAAAAATTTAAAAATATATCCAAACTAGACACAAAAAAGTAATTTTTCCACTCTGAACTTAAACAGGTTTATAATTCAAAGAAGTAAGTGTCAGCTAAGTATTTTTGGTCCCACTGCACAGTTGGAACAAATTTTTAATAGAACACAAATAAGTCTTGATACCTTCATGAATATGCCTTTTACTTAAGATTACAAACTGAAAATGTATTGATATTTTTAAAAATAGGTAATAATCTATGTTGGGACAACCTGAAATAAGGCACATTTAAATAAGACACTATCACATTTTACAAAAAACCCTCAAGTTGAACAACAGCATTGCCTAAAGAGTTAATTTAGACAGAACTATTGACTTGTTGCTGTTGGTTGACAAAAAGCTCAACCTGAGCCCCAGTGTACACTCACAGCCCAGAAAGCCAACTGTATACTGGGCTGCATCAAAAGGAGCATGACCAGCAGGCCGAGAGTGGTGATTCACCCTCTCTACTCTGCTTTGATGAGACCCCACCTGCAGTACCGCGTTCAGCTCTGGGGCCCCCAAGACAAAGAGGGACGTGAACCTGCCCGAGTGCAAAGACGATCAGAGGGCTGGAGCACCTCTCCTATAAGGACAGACTGAGAGAGTTGGGCTTCTTCAGCCTGGAGAAGAAAAGGCTCTGGGGAGACCTTAGAGCAGCCTTCCAGTAGGTAAACAGGGACTTTGAGAAAGCTGGAGAAGGACTATTTACAAGCGCATGTACAGGGACATGTAGGGACAGGACAAGAGGGAATGGCCTTAAGCTGACAGAGGGGAGATTTAGATTAGACATTAGGAAAAAATTCTTTACTATGAGGGTGGCGAGATACTGGCACAGGTTGCCCTAAGAAATTGTAAATGCCCCATCCCTGGCAGTGTTCAAGGCCTGGCTGGATGGGGCCCTGAGCAACCTGGTCTAGAGAAGGTGTCCCTTGCCCATGGCAGGGGTGTTGGAACTAGATGATCTTTAAGGCCCCTTCCAATCCAAATCATTCTATGAACTTAGATAGAACATACCTTGTCATGTCCTGTATCTCCTCCTCTTACAATATCTGGAGCCATGTATTCTATTGTTCCACAGAAGGAATATGCTCTCTCATTCTAGCATAAAAACAAAAAAAAACAAAACAAAACAAAAAAATTCACATCAAAAAATTATATTATACAATTCACATGGGACAGATATGGCTAACAGTTCCAAGATGCTGGCAGCAATTCTTCTCCAAATAGCTCAGAACTGCTAGCTAAATCATATTCCATCATATGTAGAGATGTATCACATAATGCTACAGAGTATACACAGTCTTCTATAAGAAAATAAAATGTCGTGGGTTTGTGTGGCAGTCTAAGGTAAGCACACAAAAATTAATTTATTGGTATTTTAAAAACTTCCCCATAAGTCTTAATGATCTATACATTTCAGAACTATACAAAATTCCCCAAGGTAATACAGACACACATTCTGAACGCTGCAATATCAATACTCTAGACAACAAAAGAAACCTTCCAATTAAAAAGAACATTTCATTGTAAGATATGCAATTTGACTAAACTGCATACAAGATCCTTTGCATTCACCACATTTAGGCATTTCTTATGACCTCTAGAAAAGTAATTTTCTTTTGCAACAGATACATATATAAAACCACAACATTCTCTCAAGAAGAGACTTGGAGAGAGGCAAGAGAAAGAAAGAGAAAGACAGACAGAGTTGTAGATTTCATTTTATTCTACACACTGAAGTTATTGCCTTGATTATGTGCAAAACTAAGCTGCTTTCACAGGCATGTATAATTGTTCCCTGTTAGTGATTTACCTTTGAGGTCAACATGAGGTCATGCTGTACCTTGCTAATGACGAAAGCACATGTGTTTGGGCCATGCAACATTGTTCCTCCCTTATCCTTCAAGCTTCTAGCATTTTGGGGAGAGATCCTGACAGGTCCTTTAAAGAAGAGTGTTCAAAAAAGCAAATATTTCAAAAGTCAGGTTTTACATTTGTAGATTCAGATTTGGAGTTTAAAACAGGTGCTATATAAGAGAATGTACTACACTAATGAGAAGAAGCTTCTATAACTAGAAATAGTGCTCAGTGCTACCCTGAGGCATAAAAATTAAGCAGTCCAACAGCATTTTATTAAAATACATATACTGCGACTGGTGTAGGGGGACAAAATTCTGAGTTCAAAGTAGTTACAGGCCTCATTTCGATCAAATACTATCTTGAAACATTTTGAGACAAAACCATAAAATAATAAGCTTGTCATGATTCCAAAAAACTTTCTTTTGACACAACTATTGTTTCTCTTTATCTTTTCCCATACCTGTTATCTAAAAGAAAAATAATGTGACAAAAAGAAAAAACAAAAAAAAGAATTTCAGAAATTCCTAGCCCTTCACCCTGGCATCAGCCAATCTAAAGTTATATATCCCTCTGCTCGTTTTTCCTTTAGCTGTGAGGAGGGAGTGGGAAGAAGTGAAAGAAGGAAAAGAAAGGAGAGTGAAAAATATAAACCACTGTTCTTCGCTTGCTGCCTCTCCAAAGAGTAAAAATTATGCAGCCAAGCTGAGATTTATGAAAAAAATTTATAATGCTAATATATAAAAAGAAATGGATGAAAAGTATTAGCATTTAGTTAGCTGCAAATTCAGCAATTTGTCCACAAAATTATGTCTTTTTTTGTCTCCATGTTGTATAATAAAGCTAGGCTACAAGAACTACAGTGAGGATACAAGAAACAGACTGGGGAATCATCTACGAACACATACAGTGGTACAGCAGAACTCTTATGATCTCAGGTACCTCTTGCTGGTGAGAAGGCCCACTAAAAGCATTTCCAATCAAGAAGAATTATTAGTAGTAACTGTTTAGAGAAACTGTATGTAATCGGTGGTTCCAATTTTCAATTTTATTTACCTTTAAACTTTTTTTACCTTTAACACTATAGCTTTTGATACGAAAGATGGAATTTATGAAAGAATATTTGCAAATTTATTTTATTTCTTTCTTAAAGTCACGCCGGAGGTATTTTTTGTCCTCTGCAAAATTCAGTGTTTAAAACCTCAAAAATAATTTTGGAGGTTTAAAGAATTTGGTATATGATTAAAATAATTTCTTATAATTAAATTTCAATATGAAAAACTCATACTACAAGTCACAAACAGGCACTTTTATGTTTGTAATGAGGTTTATAAGAAGTCCAACTTCTAATGCATACAGGTAAGTACTTGTATTCCTTTAGCTATTGCTTCATTCTGTAGAACGTAGAAGTGGCCTACTGCTAAAATTCACAGCTGAAGCAGCTATGAAGAAGCAGCAGATGATTATCACAAGTTTAGCAATTTCTTAGCAACAAATATAGTAGTAAATTGGAACTCAGCATTAGGTAGGAAAAAAAAAATTACCTTCTGAGCATTTTCATAATCAACACTGATTTCGCATTACATGTTCCAGCATCATATTCCAAAAGCCTTGTTAGAACCATCTTACAACTGTTACAGGGTGATCATTGAGAGAACACTCTGATAACAGCTATATATAGCTTCCCATTTAACCACACCAAAAAAGCTCAGAGGACTACAGCACTCCTCAGAACATCAATAAAGCCAACTGTCTGAAAGCAAAGCATTCCAACATGACTAAAAATTGGTGCAGATTTACCTTCATAAAACGCTGTACAAAATCCTGGCTTCAGACAGTTGAAGTCACAAAATCTGGATATTTCTTTGTTAGACTCCTCTGTTTATGTTGTGTTTTATTAAATTACAACCACACCAACTACATCTGCTACTTACAGAACACAGTTTTTATAGTATTTTCCCTAGGAGTACTCATGTAAATTTGTCATTGTTAAATATGCCTCCTGGAGGAAGTCCCTAATAGTCTTTACTATTATGTATAACATGAGGGTGTAAAACCATTTCCAAAGAATGTTGCCTCCAATAACAGTTTCCTTTTTTGTCCTGAGACATGGACATACTGGAGAGAGTCCAGCAAAGGGTCACTAAGAAGACGAAGGTACTGAAGCATATGAGGAAAGGCTGAGAGAGCTGGGACAGTTCCACCTGGAGAAGGGAAGGCTCAGGGGGATCTCATCAATGTATATAAATGCCTGAAGGGAGGGTGCAGAAAAGAGGGAGCCAGGCTCCTTTCAGTGGTGCCCAGTGACAGGACCAGAGGTAGCGGGCACAAACTGAAATGCAGAAGGTTTGCTCTGAAGATCAGGAAACCCTTTTTTATGGTGAGGGAGGTGGTGGAATGTCTCTCCTTGGGAGGTACTCAGAAGGCTTCAGGACATAGTCGTGGGCAACTGGCTCTAGGTTGACTATGCTTCAGCAGGGGAGCTGGACCGGATGACCCCCAGAGGTCCCTTCCAACCTCATCCATTCTGTGATTGTATGACAAAAAGTCACTGCAAGTTGTATTTTACCACTCCTTTTGCCTACAAATCTAGTATGCAGGCCACCCACACCCTCAAACTAAAAAAGAAAAAAATTCAAAACCCAGAACCAAACTCTATATTCAGTATTTGGCTCCCAGTTTACATTTCATTCAACTGGAATGTATCCATAAATACCAGAATCCACATTATTAATACTTTCAAGATATGAGATGTAAGACAAAGGAAGTTGATAAACAATGACTGAACTTGGATTACCTACAGGTGAAATCTCATTCAACATGCACATCTTGCAAATACTCAATCTTAAGAATTATTTGCGTAACACAGAATGTTCATTTTCTTCCCCCACTACATATGCATTGTGGTTCCCTCTTCTGAGTTGCAGAACAACACCAATCATACACTAATGTAAGGAAACAGAATTGTGACTAACACATCTCCAATAACCAAACATGACAATATTGACCTTGTCTTTGAAAGACTGTCATTATGTTTGTTCCCAATCAGCAGTGTTTCCATGTTTACAGATAATCTAGAGATAGTCTTCAGTCTTCTAGCACACAACAGCTGGTTTTAATTTCTTTTTTTTTTCTCCCTAGTTTACCCAGTTCAGCATCATTCCTGAATGTTTATGCAATAATATAGGTTTTAGTAAAGATAAACAAAGTGGCTACTTCATACCAGCTGGCTGCTGAAGAGTGTAGCAACTTTTCATGATGCCACTGATACAGAGAGTTTTGTTAAGAATTCTTGATGACTGAACAGAGACAGGTTCACCTGGAGAGCCAGGCAGTTTACTTTGTTAAACTACCTCTCTCTTAAATTGGAAAAACAAGTTATATTCCCTTAAGACTTATTCTTTGAGATGAACAACACACTGACACTGTGGATGTGCCTATATATATTACCAGATTGTTTCTAATACTCCAGTACTACATATGGGACAGGCCTTTAACTTTTTCTGCTCCACTGAGGGCAATATAGTAAAAGATAATGCACTGCCCTCTTTCCAAGCTCCTTGCAATCATTCTGACTGACCTGAGCATCCCAGTGAAATGTAACTGCTTCAGCTTACTAAGGCACTTTCAATTCCATGTCTGTATGAACCCTGAAGACTTTACTCCAGCTTGTCTATTTTAGCATCCCACTTTCTTTTTTCTTCATCAAAAAATAAAGGGCACTAAGCAGCTTTAGGACACACAATTAGAATTCTGTTGCTGTCCAAGATAGAGAAATGTAACATGGATTAACATTTTCCCTGAAGACAGTCACTTCACCAAAGAACAAAAAAACTTCGCAAAATGACAGTGCTCTGAGACCATGTACACTGACCTTGGCATGTTGACCACAATTACACCACTTCCAAAGATCCAAAAACAGTTCCAGAATTCAATCAGAAGTGCTGACAGAAGGATGATGGTCTTGCACCCTCACGCTCTTGATGATCTTGTGGTATCATCACTTAGCCCTGCTTCATAACCAAGGAATGCTAGGCAGGCATTTGAAACTATATGAAACTGTAGAAAGCACATGTGTAAACTTTTCTCCTCAAAGACATAGAGAATTTAAGCCTTAGGAGTTCTTTAATGAGGCTTCCTCATCGAGTACAAAAAAGCACATTACCAGAGGTAGAAAAAGCAAGAGGATGAAACTCCATTTTTCTGCAGAGACTAATCAAACTCACCACATCTACAGATAA